GGAAATATATGATCGTATTTTTAGGTTTATTATTTCATATATTGAATTACTATAGAATCGCTCATCGTCCGCAGACAGCTAAACAACGATTAAATAACGCTTCCTTTCCTTTTATATAGATACTCTTTGACATTTACAATTTTTACATTTTCTTTGACTTTATTACATTGTTATACGCTTGAGTAATTTGTAAAGATTAATCCTAATAATGATAGTATTAACGTAACTAACATATTTTTAGAAAATTCCTTATTTTATTTAAAAAAATAAGAGCTTATTACAATCAAAGATAGTTTCAAATAAATATTCAAAAATTATTTAAAATTTAGATAATGTCAAATAATGTCAAAGACCGTTAGAGATTTCAGTAATTAAAAACTTGTTTAAAAAATTCAAGCTTTCTCTCTTTATTCTACCCTCTCTTTAGAGCCACGTATATGTGTCGTCCGATGAATACAATTACGACTACGTACGTAATAGCGCGAGAGATTTTAATCACAGAACGGTGTTCCTATCGCTAATGATATGCATCGACCTCGCGCGGTCGTACCCCCAGTCGGATTAAAATTCCTACAATTATGATTTACATTGTAGATCCGACTGCCGCGATAAAATAACACGGCCGTACATGTTATTTTAATTTTTAAATACAGCTGTTATAGCATCGCGGCATGTGTGATGCACACAGCGATCGTGACGTTTCAAGGACAGTTTCGGCGGGTGCGAAATGCCCGATTAATTATGAGACATCGGAGAACGCCGTTAATGATATTCAGAAGCACCTTTCCATTTATATCCCCCTCATCGACTAACACCATACTCGAGTTTCGACGAGGGGAAGAGAGAAATTGAACGCGGTCGAGCGAAACTTCCTCGAGGATGAGGTCGATGGTAATAATCCGCTGTTTAAAGTTCCCAACAGCCTCGTGACGAGGGACCGTGAAGATTTGATTTAATTCGTCGCGTCACGATCTTCGACCCGTGAGCTACGCGAAACCGCCGCGGACACCTTAATCCTTTTGATACAGAAAAGTATTGTATTATCTCTTCGCCATCCAAAATATTAATACTAATATTTCGAAAAACAAGATTTTCTATTCCGTTTTTATAGATATTAAATAATTTTTAACATAATCTACAGTGAATAATATACGATCATGATACTTTTACAAACTCTATCGGTTACTATTAACGCATAAATACCTAACTATACCTAACTAGTAACGTAAAGGGGCGCATTACTCACTTGGCTTATCCAGATCGGATAGTTCCACCGATGGCGAGTACGCCGTAGCGGCTCCCAAGACCAGCATCATCACCATCGTCGTCGTCGTCGTCGTCGTCGTCGTCGTCGTCACGACACTCCACCACCGCCACCTCCACCACATTTTGTCTCCCTTTCACGCGCACTACACACACCCTCGATCCCCTAGAGGTCGGCGTAGCACCCTCCGTCCTCCTTTAGTCGTTACGTAGTCTCGCGGCCGTAGCGAGCCGGCACTAATTGCAACCCCCGACGCTGTTGCCGCTCTCGTTGCCGTTGCTGTTGCTTCTGCTGCTGCTGCTGCTGCTGCATTGCGCCGCCGTCCACATCGTCCGTCGTTCCTCGTCGTCGTTTCGTTGCTGCCGTCGACGTGAACCGATACGAGCCGTCCCCCCCTATCTGTCTTGTCGCTCACGTACCTGTCGTCATTTAATGAGACGACGACTATTTGTCTTTCGAGCCTCCCAAGAACAAGACACGGGACCTCTAACAACGTATGTTATGATCGTTCGGTGTTCCCCATCTTACGCCACAATATTCGTTCTCCTTATCTCGTGAGAGATCCTTCCTTCCTAATTAAAGCAACTTTCCGTTGTACAACTTAAGCGCGTCCAATTGATCTCTCTATCAGATTTTCCAATCGATGTGGAATGCGATTCTCAAAATGGAGAATGCGAGTAGTTGAAATTTTATTTGCTCGTTTCGTTATCGTTTTGCTTTGTTTTTTTTTTTATTATAAACGATGCATTCTTCTGCGTTAGGTAAATTTAATTGTAGAATTTCACGGGCGTGCGTCGGACGAGTGGATGATTGTTGGATTTATCGGGTAAACGAATACGTAACGGAACGGAGATTCTTCCGACAGCTTCTCTGAGTGGCGATTATAGTTTTATTGTCTATAGCAGGGTGGATTGCAGCTCCACTCAAAGGCCGCTTTCCTCGGATTCCGAGCGTTTCCGTCTCGATACCCTGTCGCGAGTCCCACTAATGCGTTCGATCGCGCGGTAAACCTCTGCGGAATGGAATAAAATATTCGCCGGGTCGCGACTGAACTTGCAAAGTGGATTCGACTTGTCTCTGAAATTCCGGCTGTCGAAACTTCAGTACGATACACGTCCAAGCGCAACTAGGTTGCGAGTCTGATAAATTTTCGAAACACTTGGAGGATTTACTACGTTCGTTTCCGACGTAACCGTATTTTCTCTTCTGCAACATCCAATCAAGCATACATACATGCAATATATTGTTTAAAAATAAAAAGATTCAATCGGAGAAAATAACTTGGGGAAAAAAATTATTTCAATTTCTCCTAAACTATACACGGGTGTGATCGAGTGAGAAATAAAATTGTTTAATCGAAACCTTTCTCTGATAAATTACGATGATAAATTACGAAGCTCTTTTCGTCTTGCTGGTTATTGAGGTGATGGGAATGTCGGAAATTTCGAAACGCTGACGCTTATCGATCGCAGAACAAATCATCGTTTTGCCACACTACTCCGATTGTACTTTCCGCCGCTATATTTCACCCTTACGTTCCGACACGATGACCTCGTCAAGTAACGGCCAAATATCGAGCGCGATCACCCGGGTGCGTACGAAATTGCTGACCAAGTTAATCACGATCGACGTATCGATATCGACGTATCAATTCAAGTGCGACGAATAGTTTCGGCTGTAATGGAACGGTCGATTATAACCGGACACAGTGTTACACACAGCCACCAGATCTGTGATATTTACTTGGAGCACAGCTCGCGTTCGCGATCGAGGGTTTCGATTTTTCGCACTTACTCTTCCTTCCCCAGCCCCGCGGCAATGCACCGAACGAGCACGTGCGATAGGGGTGCACTCGCGAGAGACGATCTTAAGTGCGCGCGAAAACCGAAGAGGTCAAAAGTAGCATAAAAAAGAATCGATAACGTAAGACGATGTCACGATCGAAGAACCGTGAACCAAGCGTGCGAAATTCACTCGCGTCCAACTTTATTTTAAGCGATCGCGTTTAAATATCGGTGAAATGCAATTATGCCGTAGCGTTTCTCGCGGATCGTAACTTCCAGGTCATCGATCGGCACTAGCGAAGCACGTCGCGCAATCGTCGATCGATAGGGTGACGATGACACCGTGCGCTCTCGCTCCAATTTTGATTCATGAATCACTCGCGTCGCGCGTAACGACGTTGAAACGCATCGGCGACGAATCTCCCCCGCGACGAAGCCACATCGAGCCCTGACCCGCGGCGGCTCGGTACTGAAGCCATTGAATATCGCGAGGAACCCTCGCGAGTCGTTTCGGCTCGCTCCGTTCATGCTCGGTCATCTTCGGGCACGCTCGCGCCGTACGTCCCGTCCTGGACCCCGTCTCGTCTCTGCTATCTTCCTCTCCCGCTCGCACTATCTCGCGTGTTTCGCTCCCACACACACACACACACATACACATCGTTCTTTCCTACCGTCTATATCGCGGAGAACGACTATGATTTACCGGCGCGGCTAATGAGTCGCCGCGCGGTCCAGGCGCGGATGCGTGAACGTAAGATTTTCGATGAAACGAGAGAACGAAAGTTGGCGATAGGACGGAATGCCAGGGTCGTTACGCTCTTACTAATTCTAATGAGGCTTCACGGTGGGAGAGAGGAGAGAGGGGGAATTCTTGCGTATCGAGGAATCAAACTGCTGTTGGAGAATAAATTTCATTTCAGAAAACAGACAAATAGTTTTTAATTAAACGTGTGGGAAAATAATTTGTCAAACAGCTGATTACTTTTGCCAGAGTTATTTATTATGAAATTTTAGATTATTCTCGGTGAATTTATAGATTCCGAAGACTGTGTTTACTTGTTGAAAGAAGATACTGTGCACATAACGATAAATATGTCTTCGTAAAATAAGAGCACGCGTACTTACGTCACGCGGAGTGTGTTCATGAAAACTGATAGTTCATGCGTACCTAGTGCATGCGCGAGATAACCGCCCTCGAAGCTTCATGACTCTCTCTACGAGAACTCGCTCCAATCACGATAAATTCCGGCTTTCGTGTTTCCATCGCTATCGGCAATCGCCTGCAAATCACTTCCTAATCCTCGAGTAAGGTATCTACGGGAAGGTACCTTTCCTAAATCCGCTTTGAATATCTAAGCATGCCCCTATATAAGCAGTATCCATATCGTTATTTTTTTATTTTCTAACTTGTTTTTCATTTAATATCTTAACATCAGTGAACTTGAATATCAGTCTTTTATTAATGTTAAATACTAACGTTATAGACAGAATAATTTAATTCTTGCAATTATGAATCACCCATTGCAATATTCAACAAAATTTCATTATGTCCAAAATATTCTATCACTTGCACGCTTTGCAAGATATAATTGCATAAAAATCATTGATAACTGACATGATTGACTGATAAATGAGGAATGTCGCACTAATCTCTCAGCAATTTATTACTATATTATTAATCGACGAATCAAAAAGTGATCAATGATCATATCGAATGATATTTTATTCCATGCAAAGGCACAGTAAATTCATACACAATGATAAAAAATATTTAATAACATTTATGCGTTTTAATTAGATCGATATTCGAAGTCAACCATAATTGACGGATATCACTATTTGTTCAATGTTCCGCGCGTTCTTGATAAAATTATATATTTTAATTGATACAATATTTATCTAATATATGCGCAAGTAAATATTGACCGTTACCGGTAATATGTAAACCAGATTACGCGTTTTCCGCCACAGTGTATTCAGACAATCACAAAAAAAAAACAGAAATATTATTTAAGAGACAGATTGGTTCCTGATCAATTTTATGAAGCGTAGTGAAACGGAATTCGATTCTCGGGTCATTGATCGAAGACGCCCCGGCGAAGCTAAAAATATTTCGAGAGATACAGGATAGAATATCGAACTAATTGTAAGAATAAAAACAATTAAAATATGAACATTCTTGGTTTCAATCGCGTTATACCAAATACATATTGGTTTTTTATTTTCAAAGATAAATATCTATAGAATTAATGTGTCCTCGATTTTTCGAAATCAGCTAATATATTTTGTTCACTTTCTTTATTCCGCACTCAATCATCGTTAATCTATAACGTAATATTTTTCGTATTAACACAATGTGTGCACGTGTTAGCTGGCCGTAAAAACCGTTCATTTACGTATCGAGTTAAAGGTAATCGTTCAAAGAGGCGCAATCGGCGGTCCTCATCTACTACATGCACACACGAGGGCACGATGCGCGCGCTTCGTTTCATCCCGAATCGCCGATATTTTACATCGAGCACAGAGCCTGCTTTCATGGATGCCCGGCGAATTGGAACTCGACACCGCGTCATGCATCATGGTACATCGTCGGACACCCAGGCTGTTAACCCAAAGCGTAAGCTGGATACGATGTTATAGGCTTCCCTATGTACTCTTCGACTTGTCGAATAAACCATGAAGCCTGTCAGTCACATCGTCCTCCTACTCGTCTTCCCGACCACCGACGCTCTCGTATCTCTCAATAGGATCGCGTAATCCGAAAATCGGGTTTTACGTCGTCGTTTGACAGGTGCTACAAAGGCAATCGATTATACCGCGGAATTTGAGAGAGCGGCGAACTCCAATTCGGAATATCTTAATTACACGCCCTATCGGTACTTTGATAACTCGTTTAATTCCCGCTTTAATGACGACGGCGGAAGTAATCGATATACAACCGAGAAAAGGGTATCCCTCTCCCCAACATGTCTCTCTTTCTTGTTGTTTATGTTTCTACAGAGTTTTTTCATTTATGTCGAGTTTATAAATAATACGTTTGCTAGTTGTTGCCTCGTTCTCTTTTGATATGCGATCTTATTTCCATTGTATAATTACTCGCAACTTTATTTATATATTCTGTTGAACTTATTAATATTTTACGATAATCTGTTTCTTAATAATATTTTATTAATACCTAACTATTCGCGCGTTAAAAAAAAATATTATCGTATGAAGAACATGTAACAGAAAAAATGTAGCGTTTTCCTTGATTTTCGTGATTATCGAAATTTTTGTAAGCGGATTGCTATGAGAAAACACGATGAAATACCCATTCAAACTATATGCATTTCGGTAGGAACGTCGCGCGATTTACCCATGTGCTCTTATCGTGTCGTTTAACAAATAATCTCGACATTTGCTCGACATTTCGCCTCCCACCGCCTATTGTGCTCGCAAATCACTCGCCCGCTAAGACATCCGAGTGAATAATGGTCCTGTGTCTCTTATTACTGCGATTTTCGCAGAGTCACAATAATATCGCTCTTTTCAGCCATGGGTGCGGCGAAAGAATCCAGATTCCTAAAATCTCCCCTGTAGCAAGCTGAAGAGGCGAACATCGAGCTCCTGTTCGATCATAAGCGCATCATTAATCACAGGACTAATGGCTCTCGCTATTTCCACTATTGTCGCCATTATCGGCAAAATCGATCGGGGAAATGGAAAATCGCTCCGTTCGTTTGTTTCGCCCGAAAGAAACGAGCGGGATGGCTAAGTAGAGGGTGAGAAACATTTCGATGGTCCCGTAACGGTTAACGGTGGTGCGAGACGGTCGGAATGTAACGCGGCAGACAAACGGGGAGGGAACGGGTTTCGGAATTTATGCTGGTGTTTACGCGAAGTGGATGGCGTTCTACGGTTGGTAGAGAATAGTTATTACGATCGCCGGAACACACCACGCCGTCTTTCGTCGGAGAGGAAAATTCTGTCCCTCCTACCCCGAGTCCGTTCATCGGACACATCGTCCGTTTGTATCTCGCGGCGCTATGCGATTTTTCCACCTTCATTCCGGAACGATCAACGGGAAATGAAATAGACGAGAGAAACGGCGAATCGGCGCGGATTTCCGGAATTACGGGCGGACAAAGTTTTTCTTAATTTCCAGGGGACCAGGTATGTCGAGGTATAAGCGAGCGTTCTTGAATATCCATTACTCCGTGCAATTTCTAGAATCCCTTCGGCCGCAATCAGAAGAGGAAAATGACTACCCTAATGCAATTTTACGAAATTCCCGCCTTTTGCGTTCGGAAGTTTTCTGATTTAGCGCTGAATGTTCTCGGACGCTGTATTCCTTTGGCTTTTAGTTATGAGCTGTTTTAAAATGAATTATCAGTATGAACCGCTAGCAGAACGGACGTTATTGAACTGGGCCGTGGTAAAAGTTATGAATTACTCCTAGAGAAGTAGCAAACTCTCGGGCGAACTTTCGCGAAGCCGAAATCAAGTTTAACATCAACCTACGCCACGTTTCCCTGGGATATCACTTCCGACACTAGCCGCCATATGCTAGTGTGAGTTTTCGTTTTCGCCGAAAAACCTCATACATCAAAATTTATTGCCGCTTTATGACTTATATTTTGCCGTAACTCTCAAAAACTACTGGCCGCAACTTCAGACCAACTATTTCATTATATAATTATTTACAATCTAATATTTATAATGAAATACTGCTAGTCTACCAACGCAATATAATTTACATTTTGATATCGAGATAAAAAATTCAATGAGCGTCATCTTTTTTCCGGTTCTCGCATGCCGAGATTATTATCGCGCGATTGACCTGAAATATTTGAGCGTCCACTCTTTTGTTTGAGTAACCTACGGCGAAAGGGGCTTGCCAAAAAGGTGCGAAAGGCAGGAGATGCCGCGATCGTCTCACGAGAAAAAAAAAGACGTGTTCGGGCAGGCGATAATGGACGACAAGGCGTGCTACGAATATCACGTCTTTCGCACGAAGTGAAATCTGCATCTCCGTTACACCTGCACCGCTACACATGGGAACCCCATCGACAAACTACGCATTATGCAGATGACGCGTTGTCCGATGAACGAAAATCACGCAGTCTTCACACCTTTATCCCGCCTCCGCCACGGCCTTCGCATTTTTACGAAGAAAAGAACTGCCAAGTACGCGTACTTCATATGCGTCGCGCATTTTATCTGGCTTTGCTCTTGACGGGTAATTTGTTTCTTCTTCGAAAATATAAATTCGAGAAAGTTATCGTGTTGATAAATATACCGGTCGACACAATACGATATATATCGCATATCCGTGTGGGATGGGTTAAGCTAAATTCCCCGAGGGATTTTATTTTAAGCGAATTTATTTTCATGTTTAATTATATATAGATTTCCGCCGATATTATTTTTACCAAAAAGCTTTTGAAATATGTTTGGTACTACGTGTTGCTAAACAAAGTAATCAA